GCAGAACAGGGAGGCGGACCAAAGACACTGCTGTAGGGAGCAGGGGGCGAGGCAGGAGAGATCTGCTGCTGAGGGGAGCAGGGGATGAGGCAGGGGAGGCCTGCTGCGCCATGTGGGTTTCTCCCTGGCTGAATGGAAATCCAACCTGTGCTGCAGAGGCTGCAGACAGCTTCACAGTGCTGTCTGTGAACCCGCTGTGCCACCGGGGAGACCCTACATAATTCCTTTTATAACCCTCAGTATACCTACACCTGGCATGTCATTATCATTACCATAATTTTAAGATCTATAAGGCAGGGACAATATTTGCCATGTTAATTCTAATATTTTAGTAGGAAAAAAGCTGGCATAGAGTGGGTTCTTATGATTTGTGGAACTGAACAGAAAAATAATTAAAAGTATATTATATTTGATAAACTATTATATACTTGTAAAGAAAAAAATTACTAAAAATTTAGAATTGGATAAAAAATAGATCTAAAAAGTATAACTCATTTACATTATCTTTTTTTTTTAAAGATTTATTTATTTATACATACAAAAGCTGGGGTACAGGCCAGAGATGCGGGGGGTGAGAGGATTCACCAGAGACAGAGTGGGGAACAGAACAGGCAGAGTAACTGAAATACACTGCTGAGGGGAGCAGCGGGCAAGACAGGAGAGGTCTGCTGGGCCATGTGGGTTTCTCCCTGGCTGGCCGGGGATTGAACTCGTGCTGCAGAGGCTGCGGATTGCTTCATAGTGCATTGCTTAACCCCTTGTGCCACCAGGGAGGCCCTCTTTTACGTTATCTTTAGAGAGAAAAACTTAAGATTTACCAAGGATTCCCACTAATGAATTTTTAAAAGTAGTAAGCTAAAAATTACATACACATAACTGCCCACCTTAAGGTTTCCTCAAAGTTTGATGACCATAAAATTATAATGCTCTAACATTAAAATGATGACCTAAAGGAACAAAAAGGTAATATAACTGGGTTCGATATAATCAAACTTAGCATTTCATTTAACGTGAGACATCGTCTTTATTAATTTACCTGTTCTTCACATTGATCTGAGAATTAGAAGGCTGTTTAATATCATCTCCATAAGTAGACCATGGTGCATAGAAAAGTGAAGAATCTACAGAATTGGAATATTCTGTTGGTGAGGAAAGTGGAGTATAGGTCTGTCGTAAGTCAATATTGTCTTCACTCTGAAATGTTAAAGAAATGTTTGTTTATCAGATATATAAAAACTATTTATTACAGAATAGTAGCAAAATAACAAGAAATTAAAGGAAATAACACAGGTATAAGATTTAGGAGGCTTAAAATGAGATTAGACACAGCTACTTTACACTAAGGGTTGGCAAACTTTCTGTCAAGAGAGTTTATTTTAGAGTTTGCTGGCTTGTAAAGTGTCTATTGAAACTTGTCAACTCTATTATTCCAGCACCAAAGCAAACATAGACAATATATAAACAAATGGGCGTAGCTATGTTCCAATAAAATATTGTTTACAAAAACTGGCAGATTTGGCCCCTGGTTGGCACTTGTATAAAACACCTACATTTATTGCAGTTTTACATTTTTGAACAGATTATGTGGACACTAGCAATGTTAATTTTAATAAATCATTTACAAAACTCAGCCAAGTTTCCCCCAATCTGTGAAATAAAATTTAACATACAGTTACAGAGAATTTTCCTAGAGATTCCACATACATTATTGTACTGAGTCAACCCTGTGAAATGGAAATTGTATTTTAAAAACAAGGAGCTTAAAGCTGCAATTTATTCAACCTATAGGTGATGATATTAAAACTAAGATTAAGGCCTTCTTACTCCTACTCAGGGATATTTTTATTAATATCTCTAATTGTCAGCCTAGTTTCTGTTTCCAAAATATATTTAAAAAATGAGATGATACATAAACTGTTAACTGCTTCAGAAAATTTAAGGATATTACTATAATCGGAAATAAATGAAGTTCCTTTTTCTTTTTTTGGAGAATGTTTCTGTAATGAACTTTGAGTAAATAAGATGAAAATTTTAAATTTTAAGATTTTAATTATTTAAAGTCCTGCTGCCTTTCAAAAGTGATTGAGATAGTGAAAATAATTAAAAATACTTAAGAGAATGGCATAACTTGAACAGTTAACAAATTAAAAAGATTAAGTTAATTTATATATACTATATCTTGTTCTAGAAAATGTGGCTTTAAAGATTGTTTTTAATGCTCCAAAATCCAGTAATAAAACCTGAGATGTAATAACTATAAATATCCAGATATAACCATAACAGAAATAGCATTTTCATATACATATTTGCATACATATATAAAAATCCAGCTACAAATATTTTCTAATTGCTTTTATTCTCTTAATCAAAATTTATATCTCTATCAGAGTTCTTCTAACTTTTTTTTTAAATCAAGGTATCCCTAAATTTTTGCTCTTTGTATATATAATTGAAAAACATTTTAAATATATAAAGCTGAGTTTATACTTTACTAATAAAATAAAAAAGTCAATGTCTTCCAATCACCCATCTTCAAGATTCTCAAATATTTTATGACAATTATTCTGGAGCTAGGGTAAATGTGTCACAGAAGGGATTTTGCTAAGAACTACCTTCCCAGAATTTGTTAATTAACTTTTACAAAGGCTTTTATCTTTAGAACCTTCCGTAATTTTATTCCTTTAGTTCTAAAGTTTTGATTATTGGTCGACCTTAGGTGTGAAGTATTCAAAGTGACATAATTGTTCACCTTTTAAAAATAGTTCTTTAGACAAAAGGTATTTCTTCAGATTATGTGATATCAAATGAGGTAAACAGTATTTGACACTAAATATATTTTGGGGGTATTCTTTCAAGTACATTTTGCATTAAAAAATTAAATCATTTAAATTTAAATATTGTAGAATAAAACGTGATTTAAATATTGTAGAATAAAATATGATTTAAATTTCATATTGTAGAATAAAACAAGAAACTAATGTGGTAGGGTCAAACAATCACACAGTAATTATCTGAAACCTTTTCAGTTGAAACATTTATGGAAGTCGGCATGCAAATATTTTGATCTATAGTCTTATATAACTGCAAAATGTATTACTTATATCCTTAATATACTTAAGTAAAATTAAATGCAAGTAAATTTTAGTAGTGAAATAAACATTATAGAGAGCAGAGGAATGCTGGTCTTGGGAGTGATAAGACCTAAGTTCGTCTGGGCTTTGTCATACAGGGCACACATCCAGTTCTTTGAGCCTCAGTTCTCGATCTCTACATGAAATTATTTCAAAGGAAAATGACTCACATTACCCTAACCCTGATATAACATCATTAACAAAACGAAATGATTTATGTGAAAAAGTATATAATCCGAGACATCATTAAAGCTAGAGAATAAAGGGGTAAAAATATTTGTTTTCACCTTTAAATTATCAGCGCTCCGTTAGGAACAGCTAGCAATAAATACTTGAAGGGGAAAATATTTTATGGTCTTACGCGAAGTAAATACGGAGTTGTTTTTTTTTTTTTTTTTTTTGACATTTCTGGCATCCTGTGATGCTGAGAACAAGATGAAAACGAGTCAATGAAAAATCTCACTCTTAACCTGTTTTCAAAGCAAAGCATGTGCGCTGCCCACTCTACTCCAACTGCGGCGAGGGGCGTCCCTGGCCGTCCTAACCTTGGAGCAATTTGAACACCTACGCGAACCGCCTCGGGTCAGCGGATAAATCCACTAACATAGGGCGCAATGCATGAAAGGACCTGCGATTTGTAGCAATCATAGAAGGAAGCGGAGCCGGTCAGCATCACGCTGTTGAACACGTCTGTTAATCGGCTGGTGTCGGCGCCGAGGTTCCAGCAGCGGTTCGCACCTCCCCGGAACGCCACCTTAGGCTGCGCGAAACAGGAGTGGGGAAGGGGAGGACGTCACGGCGGGGAAAGGGGGTTCCACCTCGCCGGGACACTCGGGGGCCGCCTCCGCGCCCGCCCCGCCACCGGCCCCGCCAGGCACTCGCCGCCCGCGACGGCGCGACGTGCAGGCGGCGGCCCGACGTGCGGGCGACGGCGGAGGCCCCGGCGTCGCGGAGACCCGCGTCCCGGCCGCGCAGCCTGTCAGCCCGCGCCGCGACGCCCTGCCCGGCCCCCGGTCACCGCGCCCCCCACCTGCCGCTGCGGCGCGGCCCGGGCTCCCTCCGGGGCGCCTCACCGACGACCTGCCCTCTCCCCCGACCCGGCCTCCTCTGAGAACCGCGTCCGGGAGCGCTCCCGCGCCTCAGCCTCTCCTCACGGTCACCATCCTCCGAGCCTGCCCGCCACCCGCCCCTGACCTCCCCACCGGTTACCTCAGGTCCCTCCCTCGGGCCTGGGGGGTGAGGGGGCCGGCAGGTGTCTCCGCCTCTCACCTCCATGGGGCCCCCCAGCCCCTCCTGGGCTAGGTACAGCTCCTGGGGTACGGGGGTGAGGGGGGGCGTCGAGGCCCGGCTCCCTCAGCCGCTACCGCAGCCGCCCCGGGCGCTGCCTGGAGCGGGTCTGTGGGTGGCGGGGCCCTAGCGAGAAGGGAGGGGCGGGGGCAGAGGCCGTTACATTGCCTATCCCGGGCTCGAGACCCGGCACGCGACCCGCCCCGCCTCGCCTCGCCCCGCCCCGCCCCGCCCCCTCCCTGGAGGCCCGCCCCACGCTTCGCACCCCTTCATTGGCCGGTTGCCCAGCCAATGGACAGGCCTCCAGGGCCTGTTACCCCCGCCCGACCCCAGCCCCACCCAGACTAGACTAAGGAGCTGTTAGCCTACCTCGCTCTCTCGCAGCTTCTGAGTCTTTCCCGCTCAAAGTTAACGCGTTCGGGATTGGCCCGCACTGACCAGAGCCAGCCTGATGATTGGCTAAATGGAACCTCGAGGGGCGGGGCCTAGAAGGAGGGGCGGGATCCCGGGCCTACCGGGTGAGAGAAATGGTGGACGTGGTGGGAAGATTTGAGAAGACGCACAGCAACTGGCTGGTAAGCGTGTATCTATTCGCTCTGCACCTTGTGCTAACGTTTGACTTTTGCCCTCTGGCCCCTCCCCTAACTCCCAGGATCCTTTGGAGCCGCCCAGAGAACAACAGACGGGCTCGTTTACAGCGGGTGAGAAACCAGGGTGCAGTTCTCGGAGTTGTGGGGGGACCCTTCGGAGGGAGCGCCCCGTCCGGCCGAGGCGCCGGGCTTCCGGGGTGCAGGCCTCTTGGCGTGACTGTGACTTGCACCCACCTGCCCTGAGCAAGCCGTGCAGATGGGTAGAGGCGTTGCAGATGTGATGGCCTCAGACAAATCCAAGTTTTGTCCCCAAACTAAGTTAAAAAGGTTTTGTGTGTGTGTGTGTGTGTGTTGAACTGTTGAAGAAAATAAGAGTAAATACAGCAAACCCCTTATGGTTGTTTATATTTAAACTCAAAGCATAAGTGCTCAGTTGAGCGGGACATGTTCTTTTAATTAACTCGGGCATAACTGGAAATAGAATGGGGGCGCATGTTTTATTGGCCCGTTGACCTGCTAGTCATTTTGGATAGAAATTTTGATTTAAGAAAATTCATCAGGTGACATGGCTGTACCAATGACACGCTGAAGTTGCTGACAGGGAGCTCAGTCCCCCCTTGCTTTAAGACCCCCCTTCCTTCCTCCCTCCTCGCCCTCTCCTCCCCTCTCCCATCGTCGTCAGATTTTGAAACACTGAATCCTTTTATGTATTTTTTTGTCCTCAGAGTTACTATTTTAACCATTTTCAAGTGTACAATTCAGTGGCACTGTGTACGTTCACAATGTTGTGCAACTATGACCATTATCTGTTTCCAGAAAAATTTCATTATCTCAAACAGAAACTCTGTACCCAATAAATAATAACTCCCCACTTCCCTTCCCCCACCCCAAGTAACCTCCACTTCTATCTCTGTCTCTATGAATTTGCCTACTCTAGGCACCACATATAAGAGGAATCATAATTGTCTTTTTGTGAATGCTATTTCACTTAGCATAATGTCAAGGTTCATTCCTGTCATAGTATGTGCTAGTACTTCCTTTTTATGACTGAATACTATTCCACTGTATATACACTACATTTTAAAAAATTCCCTCATCAGTTAGTGGGCACTTGTTTTCACGTTTCCTCTACTCTGAAATAATGCTACTTTGAACATCAGTATGAAAGTGCCTGTTTGATTCTTTTTTTTTTTCAATTCTTCTGGTGTTCACCTAAGAGTGGAATTTATGGCACATAGGGTTATTCTGTTAAATACTTGAAAAACAGCAAACTGTTTGCCACAGCCGCTGCACCATTGTATATTCCCACCAGCAATCATGAGGGTTCCAATTTCTCCAAATCTTCACCAACACTTGTCATTTTCCTTTTTGAAAAAAAAGCCATTCTAGAGGTGTGATGAGGTATAAAATGATAATTTTGATTTGCACTTCCCTAATGACTGATGATATTAAGCATCTTCATGTGCTTGGTAGTCATTTGTATCTCTTCTTTGGCGAAATAGCTATTCAAGTCCTTTGCTCATTTTTTGAGATCATACTGTCAGGTTGATAGGGTTTGTTTTGGAAGTGACGATTATAGGAAAATTTAACACCCCATTGAACTCAAGTTAATAGAATGTTTTGGTTCCGAGGCAGAGCAAGCATTTAGTATACAGGAAGTTCTTTCAGCTGCTGTATTTCTTTTTTGAATGATCTCATTCTGAACATGATTATTGAGAAGTGGGTAAGATTGTGAAAACAAAGATATATACAAAACACAGATTGAGTTAGAAATACTCAAGTAATTGTTTTATACCTTCTCTGTTTTCATCTGAATTTAATGTGTTTTTTTTTTAAATCATGACTTTCTCTGTTTACTTACTGAATTTTTCTATATTGGAGCAACCATATGAATTTTTTTTACTTAAGAAGACTGGTCACATTTTGGTTACCTTGATCCAACTCAGAATGATATTGCACTCAAGTAAAAGCTCTTTTACTTTGCTATTCTAGTTGAACCTGAATTTAGGTTGGATTAAAATACAAATTTAAGAACATTCTTAGATAAAATTGGGAACAATTTAAATCTATTCCATCTTGAAAACTTAGTGTAGAATGCAAACTTTTCATCCAAAATATATTTAAAGATTATCTTTTTTATTTTGAAACTCAGAAAGAGAACATATGATGTAGTACTCTTCAGTTACATTAACAAAGTCCTTTTTATTTATACATGTACAGATACTTAACCATTTTGTTTTGTAGCAAAAACAATCATTGGGAGGAGAGGGCGGAGCAACATGGCGGCTAGGAGACGCTGTGAGTAAGATCTCCCATTAAAAAAAGTTAATAGGGAGGAAAAGCGGCAGGTCCCAGTGAGAACTGGGACACGGAAGATAAACGGACGACTCCAGCAAACTACCTGAAGAAGAAAGTTGCCATAAAAGAGGACCAGAAGGGAGGAAAGCGCAGAACCCCGCTCCCCTCCCCCACCCACAGAGTGGGCACTCTCCAACCAGCAGAGAGGAGGAAAAAAAAAACAAACTAAAATGACCAACAAGAACAAACTACGCAGCAAGCGGGACTGTGAGTGGAAAGGAACTATTGCAGCCACCACACCCTGTGAATGGGAGCAGTGGAGAACCCTGCAGGATTCGCTGCAGCGGTGAGCGAACAGCTCCAGGTGCCTTTAGAGAAGAACAAAGACTCTGGAGACGCGCACACAGCCCCAGGCCCGCCGGTAAGCTTGCGCAGAAAAGCGGCGCGCTTGGCGCACTTGAAAAGCAAACGTGGATCAGGATCGTGGCTGCCCAGGTCCCCACGCCTGCGACCTAGGCTAGCGGGGAGACGCGCAGAGGCCCTCACTGGGGTGAAAGTCCCTCACTGAGTAAGCAGGAACCAGGCGCCCAGGCACGGGAGCGGGGTGCAAAAGGCGCCATTCCCGCACCACTGAACTGGGCTACAGCCCGTGTCCTGGACCTGAGGGCTTTGGAACTGAGACCCGGGGCACGAAATTCGGGGCGTGGGTTCTCCACGACGGTGGGGCACAAGGCAGACACAGCACCCCAAAGCCGTTGAGGTTTACCCTACCATTCCCGCTCTGTTCCCTGTCCCACGGGGTGGGGGTGGGGCAAAAAACAGCCCCCCCAAGGACAATAGGAGAGATCTGTGGCGCCACCTAGCGACCAGGAAAAAAAAGTCACTAAAACCCCATAGAACAGGGAAATTTCTTAAGACTGCTTGAAAAGGGCAGAAGGCTCCCAGGGGAGACAGTGGCCAGCTGGGAAGTTAGCCCACGCCAGGCCCCTTCCGACTAGCAGTCTGAGCCCACAGAGGGAACAGGCACCCACGGCCGGGGCAGACCGGGTGCGCAGAAGAGTGTGCCTGAGACCGGAAGCGCAGGGACTGAGTCCCGCGTCGCCATTTTAGAACAGGAACATTTCTTCAGTAAAGACTGCCTGAAACCAGCAGAAAGCTCCCTCAGAAGCCAGAGATGGCTCCTGGAGGAGCCAGAGGGGAGCGGAGAAGTTCGCCCAAGATGCCGGCCAGTCCGAGCAACACAGTGTCCCAATGCATACGACAAATAAGAAAACAGACAGTAGGAAGTAGAAGAACCACACGCAACCTAACAACTCCTCAGGAAAAAAGCACACCACAAAAAGAAAACCACCCTCCAGATTACAATGACAGTAACATGGAAGAACTTCTGAGACTTCCAGAAAGAGAATTTAAAATTGCTGTGATTAAAAAACTGACAGAAGTCATAAAGGAAAACAATGATATGAGAAAAATAATCAATGATCAGAAGAATGAAATTGAGTCCGTAAAGAGGGAAGCAAAAGAAATGCAGGAGATCAAAGAATTAATGGAGGAACTAAAGAACTCTAGGAAAAGCAATGAAAGCAGAATAGATGAAATGGAAGAGCGAATAAATACTCTTGAAGACACAGAAATAAAAAGAACCAAAACAGAAAAGGAAAGAGAAGTACGAAGGAAAAAGAATGAAGAAAGACTTCGGGAACTATCTGACTCCATGAGGAGAGGAAATATAAGAGTTATAGGAATTCCAGAAGGAGAGGAGAGAGATGTAGGAACAGAGAAAATATTCCAGGAGATAATTGAAGAGAACTTCCCAAATGTGAAGCAGGAGCTGAAAATTGATATACAAGAAGCAAGAAGAACACCAAACTTCCATGACGAAAGGAAAAATACAGCAAGACACATAATAGTAAAGCTCCCAAGAATCCAGGACAAGGAAAAAATAATGAAGCTGACAAGAGGGAAGAAACAGATAACATTCAAAGGAAAACCAATCAGGCTGACATCGGACTTCTCTGAAGAAACACTACGGGCAAGGAGAGAGTGGAGGGACATAGTCAACAGACTCCAAGAAAACAGATGCCAACCAAGAATACTCTATCCCGCAAAGCTCTCCTTCCTCTATGAAGAAAGAATAAGGACCTTCCCAGACAAACAGAAACTCTGGAATTTCATTACGACTAAACCCCCACTCCAAAAAATACTACAAGGAATCCTAAAGCCAGAACCTCAGAGGGATGAATAACAACGAAAGAAGGCCAAAAAAAAAAAAAGTTATTAAAAGAATAAATAAAATCAAAGGAAAGACAAACAATGGCAAATACAGATGCTAACATATCAATATTAACTCTAAATGTAAATGGACTAAACTCTTCAATAAAAAGACACAGAGTTGCAGCCTGGATTAAGAAACAAAACCCAACCTTTTGCTGTCTCCAGGAAACACATTTAGCTACAAAAGATAAAAATAGGCTCAAAGTTAAAGGATGGAAAACAATCCTACAAGCAAATGGACCAAAAAAGAAAGCAGGAACAGCTATACTTAGATAAAACAGACTTCAAACTCAAAAAAATAAAAAGAGACCCCAATGGCCACTACATTATGATCAAGGGGACAATACTTCAAGAAGAAATAACACTCATTAACATATACTCACCAAACGAAGGAGCGCCAAAATATATCAGACAACTGTTGGTCCTCTCTGAAAACAGACATCAGAGAAAACACGTAGTGGGAGACTTCAACACACCACTATCAACAATGGATAGATCAACAAGACAAAAAATAAGTAAAGAAACTAAAGCTCTAAATA